TGCCACTAAACTAACTGATAACAACTTAGTGTCAAAGAGATACCTAATTTCCAGTTAATGCTAACGATACAATTTTTCCTATCATTATCTCTTCATACAATATAAGGGATAGGGACTCGATAAACTTTTCTCAGGGATTCAACTGATGGATTGTCCTCACGCTGAACCTATCAGATCAATTTCAGGATTGAAATTTTTAGTGATTCAGGTTTTAAACGTGACTGTTTATTCTCTTCTCTGAACTGAGCAAACCATGCAGTCTAAATTGATGGCAGCTTCATCAAGTGTTTTCTTGAATAAGACGGTACTAACTTTTGTTTTACCAAAAGTGAGTCTGCTTTCCAGTATGAGTGCTGTGCTCTTGTCATGAAGTAGCCCTTTTTATTCCAACTGCAAAACCTGCTGTCTTAGCTTGGTAGGAACACCACTAACTTGGAAACACAGTGCAAGCAGGCATCATGATACTGGAAAACAAGATCCTAAGCTAGATGCTGAGGCAGGACGCATTCAAAGGCTTGAGAAGATGACTTGTTTTATAAACATTCAGTGCAAAATGAATCACTAGAGCAGGATAAACCTAATGTCCTCTATACCCTTCCCCCCAAAAAGTATGCAAGAATCAATACCACCACCACTACCTCCAGTGCACCTGTGCACACACACACACGCACATATACACACAAGAATGCTTGGGAAATCTCAGGGATATCTCAGTTCCTATAAAAACAGGGCAAGACATATTCAGCCATAACAGGGGGGCCAAAATCTAGCAGCAAGTTGAAGGAAACTAACAGATGGCACATTTGCCCAGAAAAGAAAGTAGACATGCCAAGAGCAGGTTTGGCTCCCACTCAAGTTTACCAGGAATAAGTCATGTTTACAGACTCATACAGACTTTCACATCACTCAGTGACTTTTCATAAATATTTATTGGTGTTATCCACAGAATTTAAGGTATTCCTCTATTAAAAAAACTTCACATTCTAAAGTGAGTTTGTCTATAGGCATTTTCTTATCTTTTTTCTATAATTTTTTCGTATTACATAAACAGAAGTTTTTGTGGGTGAAGATTTTATTTTCTTCAATTCTGAAACTGACACGTCCTCAGGAAAGAAATTTCTAAAAGCATTCAATATTTGTTAAAAATCATTTATTCAAAATATAAAATTTTATCCTAATTATTTGATGTTTAATGCAATTAATTTTGCTGTGAAGGCTTTTGTGGTTTTCCCTGAAATGTCTCTGACTTTAGTGAAGGCTTCTGATCATTCAGGATGTTGACAATTTTCTTCTTCATGTGAAGTCTCTGATATACAATAAAACTATTTCTAATAGTTCTTCTGAAATGTATTATGTTAATAGGATTTCATCCCAGTCTAATAGAGAGACAGCAAAACAATGCATTTAACTAATAGGTCAAATCAGAGAGCTCAATGGAAAACAAACTTAATTCTTGCTTGAAAACAAACAACTGATGAAGATCAGGAAGCAGAGAATTATATTCCAAACAGTTATCCAGACTCCAGCTTCCTTTGACCCTGTGCTCCACCACATTCAACACACAAAAGCCAACTTGCTGTGGAAATCATCTCAATCCCATCTTACCATGGACCAGGAAGACTCTAAGATGCTTAAGGGCCAGGACTAAATGTAATAGATATCATTAGCATCATATTCTTTGATCAGCCCACCTGGATGAATGAGATTGGGATTTTCAACAAGCTATGAGCCTAGTAGAAAAGGAAAATGTTAAGGAAAACAATTTTCCAGTCTATATGACAAGAGTTTTTCTGCTGTGTGGTATAAAATAAGGTATGAGTTAATTCAGGATTTCTCAAATTCATGATGTGTTAGGGTTTTCTCTCTGGTATGCATTCTGATGTGATGTACTCTAAGAGCTGCCTTAGAAACAAAAATTTTCCCACATTCACCACATTCATAGGGTTTCTCCCCTGTGTGAATTCTCTGGTGTACTCTGAGATTTGAGAGTTGGGCAAAACCTTTCCCACATTCATTACACTCATAGGGTTTCTCCCCTGTGTGAGTCCTCTGGTGTCCATTGAGGTGTGACTTCCAGGAGAAAGTTTTCCCACATTCGTCACATCCATAGGGTTTCACACCTGTGTGAATTCTCTGATGCACTCTAAGGTTTGAGTTAAGGGCAAATGTTTTCCCACATATATTACATTCATAGGGTTTCTCCCCTGTGTGAGTCCTCTGGTGTGCCCTAACTTCTGACTTCCGTGAGAAAGTTTTCCCACATTCATTACATTCATAGGGTTTCTCCCCTGTGTGAGTCCTCTGGTGTGCCCTAACTTCTGACTTCCGGGAGAAGGCTTTCCCACATTCATTACATTCATAGGGTTTCTCCCCTGTGTGACTCCTCTGGTGTAGCCTAAGTTGTGACTTCTGGGATAAAGTTTTCCCACATTCATTACATTCATAGGGTTTCTGCCCGGTGTGAGTCCTCTGGTGTTCACTAAGTTGTGACTTGTGGGAGAAAGTTTTCCCACATTCATTACATTCATAGGGTTTCTCCCCTGTGTGAGTCCTCTGGTGTACACTAAGGTGTGACTTCCGGGAGAAAGTTTTCCCACATTCATTACATCCATAGGGTTTCACACCTGTGTGAATTCTCTGATGCACTCTAAGGTATGAGTTAAGGGCAAATGGTTTCCCACATATATTACATTCATAGGGTTTCTCCTCTGTGTGAACTCTCTGATGTGCATTAGCATATGACTTATCAGAGAAAGTTTTCCCACATTCATTACATTCATAGGGTTTCTCCCCTGTATGAGTCCTCTGGTGTCCACTAAGGTGTGACTTCCGGGAGAAAGTTTTCCCACATTCATCACATTCATAGGGTTTCACACCTGTGTGAATTCTCTGATGCACTCTAAGTTTTGAGTTAAAGGCAAATGTTTCCCCACATATATTACATTCATAGGGTTTCTCCCCTGTGTGAGTCCTCTGGTGTACCCTAACTTCTGACTTCCGGGAGAAAGTTTTCCCACATTCATTACATTCACAGGGTTTCTCCCCTGTGTGAGTCCTCTGGTGTGCACTAAGGTGTGACTTCCGGGAGAAAGTTTTCTCACATTCATCACAGTCATAGGGTTTTACACCTGTGTGAATTCTCTGATGCACTCTAAGGGATGAGTTAAGGGCAAATGGTTTCCCAAATATATTAGATTCATAGGGTTTCTCTCCTGTGTGAACTCTCTGACATGCACTAGCATATGACATCTCAGTGAAAGTTTTCCCACATTCATTACATTCATAGGGTTTTTCCCCTGTGTGAATTTTCTCATGTGCTCTAAGCACTGAATTACGGGCAAAAGTTTCCTCACATTCATTACACTCATAAGGTTTCTCCCCTGTGTGAATCCTCTGATGTACTCTGAGGGCTGAATTATGGGTAAAAGTTTTCTCACAGTCACTGCATTCATAGGGCTTCCTACCTGTGTGAATTCTCTGATGTGCTCTTAGGCCTGAAGTGAAGGTAAAAGATTGCCCACATTCATTACATTCATAAAGTTTGAATCCCACATGAGCTCCAGAATGCTGAATAGAGTATGAACTTGTACAAAAGGATTTCCCACATTCTTCATATTGAAGTTTCTTCCCTGAACGGGTTCTCTGATACCGAATGAAGTGTGCTTTCTGTTCTTCTTTACTCAATGTTTTATCATTGTCATCAATAAATATTACTTGACACAGAGGCTTCTTTTGTTTTTCCTGGATCTCTTGTATGTTGTCATCAATTTTATAATATCCTAAAATGAAAAAAAATTGAAAACATATTATGAATCTTACATTTTTCATGGAGAAGGACTTGTAATCATGTTTTGTTATATATTTTATTCTATTGTTTCTGGTCATGTTTCCAAAGACTAAAAATGCACACAGACAGATACTCTTTCTTGTTCCTCATGCATGTTTAAAGAAACAGGCATTATTTTCATCCAAGATGGAGTAGTCCCTTTCCTCCCAGATCTTCCTTCTTACAATTAAAAATCCTTACAAAAAAAATTTAAAAAACATGAACAAACATACAAAGACCCTACAAAATAGAAAAATGTGAACCTCAGGACTTAAGAAATGACACAGCAGAGAATTCCAAAGCTTTGCTTTCTGCTTCCCATATATCCTAGACAGAGGTGAAGAAACCTACAATCTGGAGCCAGCAACAAAAAGAGCTCCAAGAAAAAAAAGCATTTCTTCTAGCCAAAAGTAGTTTAACAGAACTGAAAATATGTTTGACAACATCCACATAGCCTTGCAAAACAAAAACAGAATGCTTCTGTGGTTCCATGAAGGCTGATCAAGAAGCTAACCTTCCACTGCAATGGATACAGACTATCTGTGTGCTCTTGTAATATTTCCCTCCATGAGCCAAATGGGGAACTCATAGGAAAGATCATAAAGGATCCTGAGAAAGTTCCACTTTTGGGATATGCTGGAAGATGTAACAGGAGCTGCTGCCAAAATTCTGCCTAGAAATATATTCTTATCGGCCAGGATTGGTAGCTTAGCCTGTAATCCCATCACTTTGGGAGACCGAGGCAAGTGGATTGCCTGAGCCCGCAGGTTCGAGACTAAACTGGACAACTTGGTGAGTTGCCATTCTACAATAAATAAAAAAGTAGTTGGTAGTTGTAGCACCTGTACTTTCGGCTACTTGGAAGGCTAAGGTGGAAGGATTGCTGGAGCCTAGTAGGTCAATACTGGGGTGACCTGGATGACTGAGACTCCAACTTAAAAAAAAAAAGAAATATATTCTTATCTAATTAATGGAACAAATATATTCATCTGTAAGGGCAAGAACAACAAATCTGCTGTTTTAGGGCACTAGCAGTCACTCATAGCAGCTAGAGGAAGAAAAGCAGCACAGAAACAGGAGAAGAGACAGGAATACCTGGTAGGCACAACTATAGGGGGAAGAGATAAAGTAGCACTTGTGATAACCACACCTTCAAACTCAAGGTCACAGTGCTTTCTACAACAGCTAAACTCACATTTTCTCAAATGCACATGGAACATTCACCAAATATAATACATTCTTGGCTGTTAGACAAATCTTCACAAATACAGAACAGAAATCATACAAAAGATGTTCTTGAGCTACAGAGAAATTATACTAGAAATTAATAAACACTTTTTTACTTGGAGAAATACAAAATATTTATAAATGATATTCTGTGAATTCACCCATGGGTCAAAGAAGAATGTTCAAATAAGATATTTTGAGGTGTATGAAAACAACACAAAAATACAGAAATTTGTGAATGCAACTAAAGCAGTGCTCAGACATAAATATGTGGTTTAAAATTTTTATATCTGAAAAGAGAGATCTCCGGAAACTTAAGCTCCCACTTTAAGAAACTAGACAAAGAGAGACAATTAAATCTAAAGAAGAAACTAGACAAAGAGACAATTAAATCTAAAGAAAGTAATGGAAGAAAAACAGGAAAGACTAGACAATAAAACTGAAAACAGAAAACAGCACAGAAAATCAACCCAAAGCTTAGTTACTTTAAAAGGTTTTTTTTCACTGATAAGCAGAAAAAAAGTCACAAATTCTCAATATCATAAATGCAAGAGGGGAAATTACTGACAAAACAAACATTCAACAGATAAAACAACATGAACGACTATAACAAATTAAGGTGGCTTAAAGAACAAATATTTATTTTTCTCAGTTCTAGAGCCTGGAAGTCTCAGAATAGGGTGCCAACACAATTGCATTCTTGTGAGTGACCTCTTTGGGTTATAGACTATTCTTGTAACAGACTCACATGGCAGAAAGCAAGCTAGCTAGTTGTGGTATCTTCTAGTGAGGGCATTTTAATCTATCTTTTTTTAACCAGAAAAGCAAATAACTATATTTGAAAACCCTAGAAAGAAGCAGTAGGAGAATATGGACTGTAACCAGAGGGAGTTTTTTGGATTCTTAGAACTTTATTCCTTTGTTTTAGAACACTGACACCATATTATTTGGTTCAGTAATTCAAATCCTTAAATGTTTTCTTTTTCCTGTGCTCTCAGGCTAGACTTTAATGTACTTATTACCTGAATTCAAACCTGAATGACAACAGAACATGAAATCTAAATTATTTTACTTTTATTGACTAAAAACTTTACCATTCTTTTATAACAATTTTTCTAAGTTTTGTGTTTAGAGATAGCTTATTTGGCCAGGCTATATGCGCTAATCATTTACATATAGTGACTGGGAGATATGCTTGACCTAAATTATGTCAATCTTTATGTAATGCCATTTGTTTATATGGCTTCACACCAAAAACTTTCAATAAGTGAGCACCACTTCTAATAATTAAGATGATTTTACTTTTTCTTCTATGAATTATATTGAAAACTATAACTTTTTAAAATTTCTGGAATCATTAGTATAGACAAATGCTAAGATACATATGAAAAGATATTTGACATCATTAGTGACAAATAAACTGTTATGGACTGTGTCCCATCCCCAAATTCATATTTTGAAGAACTAACCTCCAGTAATACTGTATTTGGAGACAAGGCCTTTAGGAGGTAATCCAGGTTAAAATGAGGCCATAAGGATAAAGCCTTAATCCAGCACTGGTGTCCTTACAAGAAAGGGAAAACACACCAGGATGCTCTCTCTCTCCCCCAGTGGCTACGCACAGAGGAAAGGTCATGTGAAAACACACCAAGAACTATGGCTTTCTGCAAGCCAGGAAAGAGAGGCCTCACCAGAAATCAACTTATTGGCATCCTTATCTTGGACTTTCAGCCTCCAGAACTGAGAGAATTTCTGTTGCTTAATCCACTCAGTCTGTGGTATTCTATTATGACAGCCCTAGCTGCCTAATAAAGAAAAACAAATCAAAATCACAAGGAAATGCCACTTCACATTCACCAGGATGGCTGGAATCAAACAAATGTTGGTAAGAATATGGAAAAATCAGAATCCCTGTGGGCTGTTGTTAGGAATGGAAAATGGCGATGTCATTTAGAAAAACAGCCTGGCAGTTCCTTAATCAGATAAACACAGAGGTACGACATGATCCAGAATTTTATGAATAGGCATAAAAACATATATCCATGCAAAAACTTGTAAAAATGTTGTATCAACATTATCCATAATAGCCAAACGATGGTAGTCCAAGTATCTACTGACTGATGAGTGGAAACACAGGCAGTATATCCAAACAATGAAATAGGATCTGGCCATAAAAAGGATGAAACACTGACATATGCTATAACATGAACCTTTTAAATATTAAGTTAAGCAAAAGAAGCCATGATCACATGTTATATGATTCCATTTACACAAAATGTCCAGAATAGGCAGATCTGCAGAGACACAAGTAGATTAATGTCTACTTAGAGCTAGAGGAGTCAGAGATATAGACGAGTGACAACTAAAGGATACAGATTTCTTTATGAGGTGATGAGCTTTGTACATAGAGTCATCCCTTGGAGGACTGGATCTACAACTCCTTTGAATATCAAACTCTACGGATGCCCAAGTCCTTGATATAAAATGGCACAGTATTTACATTTAACCTATGTACACCCTCTGGTATATTTTAAATCATCTCCATATTACTTACACTAGCCTCATAAAACAGAGACAGTAGACAGTTGTATACTATATTGTTTAGGAAATAATGACAAAAAAGTCTGTTCATTTTCAGTAGAGATGCATTTTTTAAAATAGTTTCAATCTATAGTTGCTGGAATACACGAATGCAGAACCCATGGATACAGAGGGCAGACTGTATCTATAAACACATTAAAAACCATTGAACTATAATTTTGAATGAATTGTATGAGATGTGAATTATATCTCAATAAAGCTGTTACCCCCCCAAAAAAAATTTGCAAGGTGCTCTTCCGCTAAGAGCTAACTACCCCAAGGGCCTCCTTCTGTCAACACTCACTCACCTGGGTACGTCTGGTTTAGGAATTTGACTTCTAGGGACCATGGTTCTTCTCCTTGCTCCAACTTGAGGATAACCTTGGGTTTGGTAATGCAACACCCTGTAATGAAGTAATTGAGGGTATAAATGGACCAGATCCATGAGCACTTAGATGGTTCCACGGTGATGTCGTCAAATGACACGGATCCCTTCAGCAACATATTTTGTTCAAGGTCTCAAAATTAGGTGACACAGAAAATACCTGAGAACTTTTCCTGTTTACTCTTGAGGCTCAAAAACAGTTGGTTATAGAGGCTTATTTTGGACCAAATTTCATCTTAAAACTTGTCACTCAGCTAGTTTAAAAGGTTTTTAATTTACCATACCACATCTATATAATTTATGAATTCCAGATGTTTTTAAGACAGAAAAATTCAATGTAATTAAACCTTCTACAACTCTTCTTGCACATTCCCGGAATTATTGTTTTCTCTAGGAAATTCATACCCTCCTTGAACATCCTCCCTGTAAATACTGGGAGCCGAGGAAGAAATAAATGTGAGTGCTAGAGAGAGACCTGACCAAACTTATGTATAAGTAAATATATAAAAATAGAGAAATACAGAGCTCATGAAGAACAAGGAACAGCTTACAAAGAAGTTGGAACCAATGAGACCATAGTAAGAAAACACTATGTATACTGAAGTAACAGCAATCGACATAAGAATAGGATATAATCACAGAGCAAAGCAGCAACCATCTGATGATTATTGCTTGAGGTAGCAACCTAGTCTAGCTGTGTGAGAAGCTGCTCTCTCTGTCTTTTTGTTTTATTTTGCTTCTAACTGACAGAAAGACAAATCTTTCAAATAAGATCTCACTTATACACGGAATCTAAGACAGTAAAATGTATAGAAGTAAAGAAAGAATAGAATAGTGGTTACCCAAGTCTGGGGGAGAGGGGGAGAGAAACAGGAGATGTTGGTCAAAGGATACAAAGCTTCCATCAGACAAGAGGAACAAGTTTTCAAGATACTGCAAAGCATGGTGACTCTAGTTAATAATAATATATTGTATGTTTCAAAATAATCAGCTTCTTGATGGTGTCAAAAACTGACAATTAAGAAACAAAAGAAAAAAATGTGTGAGACATTTGAGTGAGAGATCTGTTCTGGTTGCTACAAAGGAGTGTGTGAGACATAAAGCTGGAACTGCCTTTAAACTAATACACAGCTGGTAACTGAAGTTATTAGAGACAATCAGACAGATCCTTGAGCACATTGGGATTAAGGAAAAAGTACCAAAAGAAAAACACTTGAGGACCACATATATTAAAGAGGCTGGCAGAAGATGTACAGGCAACTAGTCAGAGAAGTAGGTTTCTGAAAAATAGTAATAGAATCCAGAGGATAAATTC